TCAAATGGACCTTATCTTAATTACTATGGACATAGTAGGGTGTCTGTAGCATAGTCGGATGATGATAAAAAATAATCGTGAATAATTTGTGCTTTTTGTAAAAACAGAACTTAGCTTAGTTTAGTCCTTCAAAGTTCGTCTTTAAATTTTTTTAACAATGACAAACTCCTTTATCATTTTGTCAGTTGAAAATTTTGTCTAGCTTGTCTAGTGAAGCAATTGTTAATTACTTGAACTAAATATTTATTTAGTTACCGCTTCCTATCTATAAAAACCTAATACGAAATTATATTAATAATAAATACTAAAAGAAGTTCATTTTTGTAAAAAAAAAAAAAAAACTGTTTTTCTCAAGAATAAGTTTTTGTAATGAAACAAAAATCAACGTTTAGTTAAAATTGAAAAGGATGGCAGAAACAAAAAACAAATCTTTAATGACTAAAATTCATCGAAAGAAAAATTCAATGAGAAACACTTTTAATTTCATATAAATGCATTAAATTAATCTTTTATATAAATTCAAGACTCATTTATTAATCATTTTTAAGATAATTTATTTATTTAATTATATATTTATATAAATATATAAAGAAACTATAAATTAAAGAAATATTTTACTGAATCAAATCGAACTGGAGGATTAAAATAAATTCCAATAAATCCCATCAAATCACCTTTAACCTTTGTCGTAAACCTATGACTTGCTGTCCTATAGTATCCTATAATAACATCCACTTATCTCTGTAGAACAAATCCGATACCTAGGACTCCACCTGGACAAACACCTCACTTGGAATCCTCATACAAATACATACAAGATTGAAACTACAAGAAACTGCTCGATGTTTCCGCTAAGAAAATCCTCAATGCTCCTTACTTTGTTAAAAATAAAATAATCCATAAAGACCTTAATGTTCCATACGTTTCCGATTTGGCCCAATCCACATACCTATCCTTTCATAATAAACTTCATAACCATCCAAATCCTCTTGTTTCTAATCTTGCTTCCTCTTCGATTCCCAATAACCCACCAAGGCATCTGAAAAGATGGCCTCATGATCGCCTCATTTAGACATATTATTAGAATACTACCAATGGGTAGTTTCTCAACAAGCGTTTTCATGTGATTATATTCCTCTGTTCACATTTACTTGATGTATTTATACTAATACAGTTGTTAATATAATAAAAATAAAATAAAATCACAAAACTCAATCAATTGGAAAACCATCAATATTCAGGAATATTTAATGTAATTGAATATCACCTGAACCACCTCTTTCATGTCTATATTTTATAAAATCATAGAGCTGACATATATCAATTAATCTTCCCAAAAGATGAAATTTTCCATTTCATATTAGCAGAGAGAGAGAAATACTTTATTCAAAGTAGTGCAGTCCTACTACATAGAATAAGACTTTATGATGTCTCATACTTATATATAGTTACGGAATTTTTATCACCTTCACTATTAAAATGATAGTATATTAATGATCATAAAATTGTTACACATGAAATTATAAAAAAGAAATCAAATAAACACCTTACCTAAAAATCTTCTTAGCATTGTTTCATATATTTTATCAAATTGTTGACACTCTGCCAGTAACTGAAAAACAGAACAAGCGAGTTTATTAATCCATAAGCAACTATAATTAATAAATATAATAATGGTATTTCTCAGAACAAATTCTTCACAAAGGGCATCTCAGGTTGTCCTTGAAAAATGTTTGAATGAGATATTAAAAAGTTATGTATCTTAAGAGTTACACTTATGCCTATTTAAAAGTCTTAATAAAATTTACCTACTGTAACAAGTTTTTTTTTTGTTACTTATATACAACTTTCTAAGGCTGTTCATTAATCCTAAAATAACTTTTAAATTAATGGTGTGTAAAGTATCTGTAAAATAGTCAATTGACCATTTCATTTACTGTTTGAATTTAATTATTTTATTTTGATTACTCTATTAAATATAAAAAATGGGTATTTGACAAATTATTTCATTGCAAGTGATACATTTTAAGAAGTACTAATCAGTTACCTAGCTTAAGATATTGTAGAATCAGTCTGAGTACTTATAATTAATATTCAGAAAGTTTAGTCATGGCACATCACTACTTCAATTAATACAAAACTGTTTTAAGAACAGCGCTCATTATTCATATTTCACATTTCACAAGACAAACGAATTCATTCACTGTTACCAACGGAACAATTGTTAACATCAGAAAATTTTTAATCAACAAAAAGTTCCAAAATATTATTTGAAAAATTAATTTAGGTTCATCATTAAAGTATAAAGTAAAATTTAAAAATAAAAATAAATATATTGAAAAGTTAAACTATTGCTGACAGCACCGTTCACTTGTACGTCTACAAAAAATATCCTTTTATTTCTTTATAATAATAATAACTAATTTTGTATTACTTAGGCCGTTATTAAATATGAAAAATCATATTGACCAATGAACAAGTCAATTTTACGTAAATTGATTCGTTTGATTGAACACAAAGTATTTCAACATCGAACTACAAGAAGTATTAAGCAGTTATTTCGACTTTGTAAAAGGGTATGCGGTTATTGGAAAATAACCGGTTATCGGTAACTTCGTATTTTTCACATCTTTAACCTAACGGTTATAACCACTCAAAATAGCCGGTTTTTGGAAAGTGGAAAAGTGATAACTGCCAATTTTTGGAATCAGCAAAAAAAGTTTACAAAACTTAATATCTTAAAGATAATTTTATTTTATAAAAATGCATTTTAAATTTTATTTGCAATTATTATTCAATTTAAATATGTTTCAACATTATATTTTGTTTTTTTTATTAAAAATAATACTTGTAATTCATTAAAAAAGCATGAAATAAATATAGAAATTATGAATTTCATAAACGAATGAAATAATTTTTGAATTATTTTATACTCATGACCTTTCTTCATTATACTTTGTATCTTCCATGCTCTCCACAGGTCAAAATTAAAATAATAAAAATGCTTGTAGTTTTTTTATTTTACTATCATTATTTGTACATTTTGGGGATGGTTAGTTCCCCTGTTTAGCATATAATATAACATATAATATGTCCCAGTATTTTTGGATGAGTCCAAATAAGTTAGGACAATGACCATATTTCTAAAATATATCTTGTTTTTTTATTAAAAATATTACTTTGAATTAGTTAAACAAAGACAGACTTAAAAATACATAAAAATTAATAGGAGATAACATTGCTATGGGTTCCTTCTCATATAGGCATAAGTGGCAATGAAAGAGCTGATGAAGGAGCAAAGGAAGTAGTGAAAATCTTTGATTCACCTCATTTAAGATCTCAATTTCTCAACAAATGAATGCAAGAAATTACAAGCAAAGTGAATAAACTTCTAAAAGAACAATGGGAATGACTGCAATTCAATCACCTCCACCACTATAAAGAACAGTATTGCTTGGATACCTCCTAAAACCCTCACATCAAAGGAATGCTCCATAATTAGCAGACTGAGAATCGGACATACCAAATTAGCCCACCAACATCTGCTTCTACATAGAAAAAAATCTCAAACATTTGACAATGAATTCTCATAGTGCAACACCTTTTCGGGAGAAAAAAAATATCAAAAAGAACAAATTAAATACAAAATTGAAGACACAGCATACTTTAAAGAAAGTTGCATTGAAAAAAAAAAACTAAATACTTAAAATCAATATCATCATATTAAAGAACATTCATCGGTAACGGGCATCACAAGTCAAAACGACATTAAATAAAAGCAAATTAAAAAAAAAAGACAGATATTAACAATGTCACATACTAATATAATCATTGTTCAATTTAAAAACATGATTTATTAAAGTCTGATCACAATGACCTATGAAGTCATGTAAAGCTACTCATCGGGTCTTCCGGACAACTGGGTTCCAACTTACTGGCTTCCCCACCAAGCTACAGAAACATGGCCAGGATATCAACCCTTTATGCCTCAGATGCAACCAAACATGTCACCAATGGCTGTATTGCTTACGAGGCACTCAGAGCCATATTTATGAATAAATCTGTCATCTGTCCTGACGTTAATAAAGTTACCTCAGCTAGTGACGACAGCAAACAACTACCAGTACTAGAAAAATTTTGTATAAGGGTGCAAATCTATCATGTGCCTTGTACACTTCCATCTAGGGTGAAGTAGAGGACCAATTCCAGGAAAACCAACAGACAATGAAGATGAATAAATGAAGAAGAAATTAACAATAAGATGAAGATTTCTGTGTTCAAGATTAAATTTAGATGTGCAGGGATGGTGACTTGCCAGTAAAGATTATTGTTAAGACAATTTTTATTTTAAATGTAAATTATTTTTGCCCGGTTATTGGAGTATTAAAGAAATAATCAGTGCTACCATGGTTACTACCAGCACTTGTCTTACCACAAGAAAAACATAATTGGTCCCTAGTGGGAACAGACTTCAACTTTTCAGATCAGGCTGGTTTTGCAAGGTCAATCTTTAAATTCATTTCATTAAAATAACTTCTACAACAATAAACAAATTGTAAAATGAGAAGGAATTAGTCGAGGGTGCGGTCAAAAAAATAAAAAAATTAAAATATATAAATAATTTTAATTTTTGCCGACGTTTCGACCCACTTTGCAGGTCGTCTTCAGGGCGTTGGATGTGGCACTGCGGGAGGCGGTTGAAACACTGTGTTTCAACCGCCTCCCGCAGTGCCACATCCAACGCCCTGAAGACGACCTGCAAAGTGGGTCGAAACGTCGGCAAAAATTAAAATTATTTATATATTTTAATTTTTTTATTTTTTTGACCGCACCCTCGACTAATTCCTTCTCATATCATATCAACGGTCAACCAACTCTACATCAAATTGTAAAATGATTCACTCATTTTAAAATAAAGTCACTCGCATAGTGAACGTTTATTGAAATTTTTCACAACTAGAAAATTTTAAAGGAAATAGAAAATTAAGTCATCGAGTAGAGTTTTATTTATGGTATAAAGTACAATGAGATCCATTGAAAACAATACAAACATGATGGAAAAAAAAAATGTCACCAATTTAAAAATCACAGCTTAATTAAACATGTTGGTCTGAGGTGACACAGACATAAAAGGCTCAATATTTTAATGCTTAGCCACCAATCAAAACAAATTATTTTATCATTTGATTTAACTTATAGGTTAGAACCTTTTATAATTCCTCCACCTCCACTAACAAGTAATGTACTCCTCTCCTTTCAGGGTTCATTCAGCTTTTGATTGATCAAAAATAAATAAACAAGATCTCCATAAAACTATAATAAAATAAGAAATATAAATGTTAATAAATATCAAAAGGTTTTAATTGGTGACCAGTTTGTGACTATAATATAAAAATGCATCTACTAGCTTAATTTGTTTAATTAATGTTTCCTTTAAAAAAAAAAATTATAAAAACACCATACAAATTATTTCTTAACTACAAACAAAACGAATGAATATATTTTGCGATTACATACTTCATTTTAATTTCTTTTAGAATAGTAATGAATTGGTCCAATCTGTTAAATATTCAGACTTCAGTTTATCAAAATAATAATTCAGTCATAAAAACTTGTAGTCCAAAATTTACAGGTATATATTGCACCCAATTTACAAGAACAATATATATTAAATTAATAACTGCAGTAAATGCTTGGATTACTAATATTTAAAAATAGGTCTTACCATATAATTATTACTAAGCTTTAAATAACAATTGTACTGTATACGAAATATCACATCTTATATTTCTTTTCTAAATTACAGGGGAAAAATATATCAAGAATGATAATACAGAGTATTTTCAATAAATACATTATATTCAATTTTAAACAGAGTAGTAGTTTGATGTTGATACAATATGAAATTACTTATGCATTACAGATGTAATCATTGTTTACAATCTCTTTGCAAATGAATGAATGATATTAACTTAATAGTATATAAAGTATAGAAAAATTCAAGTAAAAAGAAAAATATTTAGGAAAATAATATTTTAAACACTGATTGTAGTGCACTCCATAACCGTCATTTCTTATAAAAATTAAATTTGGAATCGGTACATTGAAAAATGTGTTAAATGTTAGATAAGAAAGATTTTCCAAAAAGTATGATTTACCTACTTCATTAACTAGGTTGAATCCATTTTACGATTATTTTTAATACTAAATCCAGCCTGTAAAAATGAGGATTCATGTTGAACAAGATTCACGACTCAGGATAATATAAAGCATCCTTTTATTTTTGCATCATTATTAAATAACTGCTATAGTCAGTGAGTCTCAACAGAAGCCAAACAAATTAAAAATAAAAGTGTTGTAGTTTTTAAACAGCTCATTTTCGCTTTAACATATGTAGACGAAACTCCATTTATAGAACTTAAATCCATTAAAAATCTCTTGATATGAAAAATAAATTATTATTCAAATGAAATAGTTATGTATCAACCTAAAATTCCAAAAATAAACTATGTCCCACAAAAAAAATCCACAAGTATAATTATTTAAGTTGTTATACTTATGAAATCTGTAAATGTTTAATATAATACTGATCTAATTTAGATGATTTTAGGAGCTTAGAAACATAAAAATCTGCTGAAAACAATAAAAAACTTTCAAATATTTGACTTGATTACATTACCTCCATTAACTTTTATTAAAAACTTAAATGTAATTCTTTCTGACATGTATCACACACATTTTTTTTTAAAAAAATGAAATTTTAATAAAGGAATTCTGTATATAAAAAATTCTAAAATCATATTTTTCAAGAAGCCTTATTGAAACATTCAAAATATATGGACACAACAGTATAATTATAAAGTTATCAAATATTTGAGTATAATATGTCCTTAAAAATATATAATTATGCTTATAAGTCACAAAATAACTTTAATCACAAAAACGTTTGATTTTTAAACGAGAATGGAAACCAGAAAATCACCATATTAAATAATACAGATGTTTAAAAATGATTAGCACTGACACTAAATGATAATAAATAATATTGAAAATACGTAATGCATTTTCATAAATAAGCAAAATTAATATTCCAATTTACTTTAAACATACTTTATATTTTTCTGCAGAAGGAAAAAAAATTTAAATTCCTCAAAATAGGATAAATGATCCATAATATTATTTAAGTTAGTTAAATTAAAAATGCCTAAAACAAGGGTCTTTCATATCTCCCGTGTTGTTCAATCTAAATGATTGAAGAAGTTCTGAACATATGGTAAAAGAAATGCATGGAGATGGGAATATAGATAAATGAAAAATGTCTTTATACAAAGATGCCAGCGACATACTAAGGAATCATCATGGAAGGACATCATGGAAAAACAGGAAGGCAGATAATTGGGACACTAAATTCTGTGTTATGAAACAAGCAGATAAGTCTCCAAACAAAAAAATGCTATCATTTCTTTTTGTAAAGCATCACTTTATACGCATCTGAAACGTTGATGACCCCCAAAAAGGAGACAAGGCTTTTATAATTGGCAAGACAGGTGACGACCAAGGAAGAAATGGTTAAAGAATGTGGAGGAAGGAATGGTTTTCGAGAGAGACTGACTAGACCGAAAAAAAGTGGCAAAATCTTTCGGATACGATAAACAACTAAGTTACAACTTATTTTACAAACAAATCGTTAATAACAAAATAAGCAAAATTATCTTATTGTATTTTTTAGTAAACTACGAAATAAATGTTATAAAATTATTTTAAAATTGGTAGAATTTCCAAACACGTTTAACATGAGTGAAACATTTTATCAATACCAAACATATAATACTTAAGCAGGTTTAACTAAGAAAGTAACACTTCTCATTTCAAATGATCAAAAAACCCAAATGACAATTTAAATTTCATCATTTTTTACAAAAAAAACCAATTCTCCATTTCATTAATATAAAGCAAATTAATCACAATAATCCAATACTTGCTGCTTCTCACTCCTTAAACATTATACTACATAATTACAGAATCCATCAAAATGTCAATGAAACAGGAGGTAATTACCTTTTATTATTTGAAACATTATTATTGCTGGTGTCATGTTAAGTATTGTGGGTACAAGATTCAAATTTCTAATTTTAAGAGTCGGGATAAATATTTTTAAAAATTATATAAAGAATTTAGAAATAAATACAATATTTAAGCCTTAGCACTAACAATAAACAACATTTCATCAATTATCAACAAATATTTAGCACATAATCTCTTTATCAGTTTTGAAAGAAATAGAAACATTTTAATAACAATATGACTGTAATAATTTGAGGAATACATTAACCCTTATCATGAGATAGGGGCAGAAAAAAAAGAAACAAATAAAAGGAAACAATAAATCATATCAAATTTAACTTTTATTAATCATGTTAAAAACATTTATATCTATTTGTTTCAGTCATTTGTCAAAATTATGTTACACCTAGTGCTAACAGCATGAGCTTATCATATGTCATAAATAATTTAAATTGATATTTATTTATAAAATTAAATTCATTTGAACTGTTGCATAAATACATTGTGCATCATTTTTAAAAAGTGCAAAACTTACGTTAATAGAACAAATAACGTATTTAATAAATATTACAAAAATTAATTACAAAACAAAATTAAATATATTTGAACAAGCGTTAAACTAATTACTAGCATAAATATGAAATATTAAGTCTTTGACACATTAGACGTAAAAATAACTAGGGAAGCACATAAGTAGTTGAAAAATGTATAAACATCATCTGTACAGATACAGAAAAGAAAAATAAATATATTATTTTGTGCTTCGTTTTTTTTTTTTTTAATATTAAGGTCACAGCACACAATGGAAGATCTGTAGTGGAAATGGTCAACGAAGGAAACTTTAAAATTTTCAAAAATCTTCCATAATTCACAAAGAGTATTATAGATGAATAAAATTTTTGTCAAAATGCAAACACCCTGAAAATAATTTCTACATTCTTGAGGATTAAAGAAAGATATAAAAAAACTATGAAAAACAATATACAAACACAAAATTATTGTTTTCTATTTCGCCAGAGATAAATCTGAAAAATGCTATTTTTAAGTATTTTATAGCAATTATTTTTTTATGGCAGGTTTGTATTTAAATTATTTCTTTTATATTATTAAAAACATTATTTATGCTGGTGTCATGTTTAGTATTGTGGATACTATATTCAAATTTTAATTTAATATACATCTAGCTAAAACATTAGCTATAATTTTACCAATTAAATCCATGAATGTTAATAACTTTTGTACTAATTGAAAAATAAAATAAAATCATTCCAATATTAAAATAAAAAAAAAAAAGAAACAACTAACTAGAAATAAATAAACTTTTATTAGTAACACCTTACTCAAATTTACTTTAAAATGTTTTATACATCGAAAATATTCATCATAATTAATTTCAAGCGCTAACTTGTAACCAAATCTTCCCTGCCTGAAATGAGATGACATCTTAATTCAAATAAACTTAAAAAAATAAGGCGGGCTTAGAAATTTAAATTAAAAATCAATGACTAGATTAGTTCATGTATGCCTTTAAAACACATGAAGATGTACCTTTTATTTATAGACTACATGACTAAAGTATAAATGGGGAAATAAATGAAGTGTTGGAACTTCTACAATAAAAGGCAAATATTTTATTTTTAGAATGGCCATTGAGGAAATGTTCAATACCGACGTCCTGTCAAAACAAATAAAGGGACGTCTTCTCAAAACAAATAAAGATAGACCAAACTTTAAAAATATCACTTCAAGTTCTGATAGAAAAATTATAAAGATATTCCTTAAGGACTTCATTCAAAACCTAATCAATTCATCATCACATTGAATATAAGTAGTACTAAACTATACATTAAAAAATATTCTCCATTTTAAAATTTAAATTTTTAAACAAATAGATATTTTTTTAATATGGTCCAAATTTGTTTCATTTCACTATAGACTTATTAATTATTAGTTGATAGGGAACCCAAACATACGATATAGGGTAGCTACATTTTTTACCTCTTTAAATAAGAATAGTTTTGCTATAAAACCATCGAAAGATTAATGATGTTCTACTAAAAGAACATTTTTCACAAGCACATTATAATTTTTTACAATTTCAGGCTCATTATAGTTATAAAGAAAAAAACACCTTTTGGCTTTTCAGGTCTAAGTTCTACATTTTTCATGTATGTAACATCCAGATTTTTTTTTTTAAATCATTAATGATTTTTATTATTTAGGCAATCAAATTATGAGAATTAAAATTCAACTAGCAAAAACATATACAAAACTCCGTATGCATTTAGTTTTTATTCAGCAGGTTCATATTTCATAGAAAATAATGAAATTTCAAAGAGAGATAGAAAACGTGAAAATATTAAATTTCCATCTTTTTAGGTAATTTTTTTTTTAAATAGCATATACTAGAGAAAATGTATTAAATAAATACAAAAATAGAAAAAACAGCAATTAATTGTTATACATTAAATTTATACAAAATGAAATAATGAAAAATTCTAATCCCGCAGTTTTTGATCTAAATGATACTTATTCTATCACATCGGTTTTCATTTTAGAAGAAAATGAAATTAACTAATCAAACAAATTAAAATATTTCATACTTTACGGAAAAATCATTATAAGCAAAAATCATAATCTTGTGCTGATTTTACTATTACTAATAAATTTAATGAACTGCATGTATTTGACAGTTTATCCCAGAGTCAACAACAAAACTACCCCGTTAAATTCAAAGCTGTTTTGTCTTGACTAAATGCAAGCATAAAATATAAAATTATAAATGCTGAAGTCTCTTTTAAAGTAAGATTAATGTTTTTTTAATTATAAGAAATGAAGCATAACCTATTCACTTTCATGAACATAAAAACATTCAATGGAAAAAAAATAAAACTCAAACTCCCATTTTGTCACCCATTAAATTAGAATTACCTTTAAAAAAATTGTTATAGCGTAAACAATTTTTTTTTGTTCCATTTAAAAACTAATTTAAGTCAGAACATGACTTATAATTAATAAGATATTATAAGTATATAATTTAAAAAAACAAAACAAATATATATGTAAATATTTAGTCATAATATATGTTAGTCCAAAACGAAGGCAATTACTAAAAATCACTTAATAGATTTATAGACATATCAGAAAAAAATTAAAAAGTTTAACGAGATGATTAGAAATGATTAATCAATAAAAAATATAAAATTGGAAATAATGATAATAATCCTCCTCTAAAAAACAAAAAAAGATCATCCACATAAAAACAAAACTACATTTTATTAAATCAGTAAACACGAAGCAACTATAAATAATTTGTAAGCACTAACTAATTATCTTGAAGAAAACAATAGAAAAAAAAATTTCAGTAGAAAATACAAAAAAATAATTTCATGATATACAACGCATTTAAGATAAATATTTTAACAAAACCAAAATAGGAACTTTCAACAATGGTACTTAATAATTATCACAGAAATACTTCCTAAATACTAAATATTAATTATTAAAGAAGCAAATACTTCAATCTGTGCTTCTTTTATGAAAATCATTTAGTCAAAACAGTTTTAATAACATAATGCATCTTGCTACTGTAAAACCAAAACTCAATAAATTGGTCTCTTCTTTTTGTAAAAATTTTGATTTTACGAAATTTTTAAAACTAAGAACTGAAATTTTAAACAAAATTATACATAAATAAACAGAAATGGTTCAAAATACTTTTAAACCACCACGAACTATGATAAAAATAAAAAATTTCAGGATGTTCAAGTGAATAAAATAAACTGATAATGAAAAGAAATAAAACTTCCACATCTCCACAAGTTTGAAAGGCATCATGTGCTCTAACCTAAACTTAAGGCCTAGCCGTGGAGGCTGTTAACACCATTACTATTTGTAACCAACTTTGAAAGCCTGTTGCGTAACTGAGCTTCACTCTGACCTAAAAATCTTGGAAGAACGAAGATCGTGAACAGCGCCAGTATATGCAGCCAACAATACATATTCCTAAAAAATATTATCGCTATAATTAGTGTAATATATTACTTTAAAACATTAAATAAAAAGTTATAAATATATGCAAAAAAAACAACACAAATAATTAATTAGGTTTTATAAGAAATTTTGATTATATATATATATATATATATATATATATATATAATTAGGTCACTTAATAATTGTTCAATAAACTTCAAAATATTCATAGAGCCTGCTGTTTATTTGACGTTTCGGTCCCCCTTTTTTTTTTTTGTAGTTTAATGAACAATTACTAAGTCACCTAATTCCCAATTAAATAATTATGTTCAAATATATATACAGGCGATGGTCTCAATAATCCGAACCCCAAGTGATCCAAACAAGAAAGAAAAAAAGTGATATTCTTCCCTTCCCTGTATGCCTTAATTAGTTCACTAGAAATATTATCGGTTCCCATTGCTTTATGAGACCTTAGTTTTCCGATAGCTACTTCAACTTTACTCGGTTCTTCTATTAATGGTTCAGCTCTCTGGTACTCAGAAAGATAACACAGATCATTATTTCCCGTATTTAAAATATTGTCAGTATCTCTTAAACTTATTTAATATGTCTACCAGATTGGTCAGAATATTGTTACTTTCATCGCAAATTCTAGACGTGATGGGCAATAAATATTTGCATGATATCTTTATACCTTTGTACATGTTTCTTACATTATTTTTTAGTCTATTACTTTCTATTTCAATTATTTTATTTTTAAGATACTCTCTTTTTTTATTTTTAAGCAATTTAGTAATTTTGTTCTGTAGTGTTCGGAAGTATTCAAGACTGTCTTTCCTAGGATTATTAAGAACATTTAATTTAGCAGCTTTTCTTTTATTACACATGTTTAACAATCTTCATTGAACCATGGTTTGTTCTTTTTATTTTCTACCCATAACTTATCTATACCATCGTGGTCCTCGCCCGAAGATTCTAAAGTTTCAAACCTTAACATCTAGCTTGAATTCAGTTCTAATTGATGGATTTTTTAATTTTTCCAAATTAAAAATCTCGGTATTGAAATAATTTTCTTTTCTCTTTTTTTATAATAATTTTTTGCCAGTTTCGCAATTATTAATTCATGATCTGACCCACATTATGCACCGCAATAAGACTGTACATTAATTATACTGCTTTGCCAGCTATGTTGTATCAAGACATGATCGATTTGATTTCCGGTGATGTTCAGATATATTTATGAATACTCTTATGTAGTACTTTTAATTATCAGGTTTTTCGAGATCCCATATCAGACGGACCCCATTATCATTAGTATATTCGTCCAGACTTTCTTTACCGACTGTCGGAAAATAAACTTCTTTCCTTCTCACCTTTGCGTTCGTGTCACCTACAACTATTTTTACGGAGTTTTGCAGTAGTTTATCATATACCCACTTGCATTAAATATAATAAATGTTTGAAAGTTATGTAAAGTAAAACTTACCAGTATATACGGAGACTTGCCCAAAACTCTAGGAGCACAAAACTAAAGGTGAGGTAAGTCATGAGGATTCTGGTGAAGAAGCATGTTAAAACATCATAAAACTTGCTCATATTATATGAAGTTTGAAAATGAGGTCTAACATATTTTCGGACCTAAAATGAAAATTGGAATTAAAAATTTTCTTACTATTAACATTAAAAGCACTTAAATTATTAATTTAATATTTTGTTATTATTAATATTTATTTCATAATATGATTTAAGTAAAATAACATAAATATTAAAAAATAATTAATGATTAATATTTAAAGTAATCACATAAAAATCTATATTAGATCAGTTGGACTTCCAATTACATGTAACTAAAACTTAAATTTCAATCAGCATCTTATTTTATAAAATAACATGTGTATATTGTTATCTATCAGTTAAATTTTATATTTTCCATATTATGAGAAAATGTCTAAACTGATTTCAATAAAAAAAATTGTCCGTAATAAAATCTGAAGATTTTTATCTGTATCAACTTGCCACCTGCCAGCTAAAAATAATAAACTGGCAGCGGACCTAAAATCTAGGATCTTTCTCTGCTTTTCTTAGAAAAATGGCAAAAAATTTAATGGCAAAATTAGAAAAAGCAAACTTCATAAATTTGTTACTTACAGTGATAAAAAGGTATTTAGAGATAATTAACCTTTATTTGCAATCTTGAGACAAAATGGTAAGCGTACTATAATTTATCAAAAAATCAGGTCAATAGGACAAATATCAATTGGAAGTTGGTAGTTAAATATTTACAAACTTTTTAAGTCTGCCACAGCTGGTCATTGAGTGAACATAGATCAATCAGGAAGACTAGTTTGATTTTTATTAATTTGTTTTTAAATATTTTGGTAACACAATTGCACAAATGGGGAGACAAATGTCTAAACGCTTAGTAAAATAGGGTATGCTAAAGGAATTCTAATCTGATATAGTAATCTAACATGGATTTTCGTAATTTAATTTTTAAATTTAAACTTCTAATATTTATAATTATTAATAATTTAAACAGGCCAGAGTGATTCATTTATACATCATTGTAGTCGTCCCTTATCTCACTATTTGTGTGAATAAGTAAACACAATAAAACTAAAGTAAGTAATTTTATTTTATTTTTATTTGTTTGCACTTCTTAGCAGGCTTAACGTAAAACCATATAATTAACAGCAATTTAAAGCATACCCTATTTATGTTACAATTAATCACTGTTTACTACAACAAATCAATATTTTATTTAATCAAAAAGACCACAAAGCCAAGACCTGTGATATCAATGATAAAATTCCAGCTGGTATTTCTTGAGACTATGCTTAATATTGCATGTTCTCCATGCAGGAATGAAGAATGTGTGACCAGTTACTATATTACTACTTGATAAAATAGTTATAAGACATTCATCTGAAGTAAGGACAAAACACAGTCATTATTGATTAAAATGATATGATTTTTTACAAACCCATTCCCCTCTCCTAACTTCCAAAACTCTTGTTTGCTGATGGAAAAAATAAAAACATTCCTTTTTAAATACATCTACAACTCATTCCTATCAACCAGAAAATACATAGCAAAAATCAAACTTAAACAAGATCAATTTGGCATAAAAAAAAGTACAAACCGTTCTAGATGCCACTGTCAAGAGAGCACCAGATGTGAATGTAATGTAATAGCCGGGATGAAAGCCGTGCCAGATTGCCGATAGAGCGAATGTCAGAAAAACTCCATTCTTCTTCGATACTCTCTCGTAAACAACCATACGAAGCCAAGAATTAGTCAAAATATTCCAGCTCTGAATGCAGTCTCTCAGGCTCAAACCAAACTGAAACAAATATAAGCCAAACTTTTGAAAATCTGTTTCACACCAAGGTACAAACATACAATACCTATTATAAGGTACATGGGTATTTCACCTATCTAACTTATAAATAAACATTGCTATTTACTAAGATATTAAAATTATTTCTATTCCGTAGCCAAGATATTTTAAAACACACATATAGAAAAATATTTGTCTGTGTTATGTAAAAGTTTCCTCAACTGCATGTCAACTCCAATTATCATTTCTCCTTTAATTTCATGCTTCAAAATATTTTATCTTATTTCTATGCCAAGAACAGATTATTTTAGGAGATAATTCAATTGTACACTTAAATAGTCACTTAATTTTTCTTCTAACCTAATGAAGAGACAGAAAAAAATTGTTAAATTTAAGTCTTATATAAAAAACAGATGTGATAAGATAAAATCCTTGAAATATTTTAACATTTTTGATACTTCGCTCCAATCTCGTATTTAGCAATTGGCCCAATAGTAGAAATTGAGCTAATAGCTTTAACTATAAAGCATAGAAAAACAATAACACTAATTTACTGATATCTAAAATAATATGCTAAAGAATCAGTTTCATGATATGAGTCGAAGTGAATTCAATTATCAAAAACTATAACAGTGTTTTTTCTTGCCTTCAATATAAATCCAGTTTTATTTGGCTTGGTAGTAGATTCAAGACCTAATTACTAAAACAGAGATCAATTCAAAAACTTTTGTCAATCATAGTAATATTTCTATAGCATCTAAATTAATTTAGTCTATAGGACAAATAAATTTCAGATGATAAATAAGCGATTAACACATATTCGTCCGATAAGCTTTTACACTCTGGACATTTTTTGCACTGCCATTCACAAAATTTCAGCATATCTTTATCCCTTTTATGTAAAAAATAGAATTTAATTTAATTAGAATTAAAAGTACAAGACTCAATTATTTTCTGTTATATACAAATGGTGAATTTTCGTTATTTGGGTATTGTGATTATTTGTGAAATAACAAATTTTCGTATTGAAGTATGTTGCCAATGCTGCTATGATTGGGTTTATACCATGACAAGGGTGGTAGGAGACAGCTGGTCCAGAAAGGTCTGTATACATAATTTTAGGAAAATGAGGAAAAAAGAAAGTTTGGGAAACAATTATTAAAACAGCTATAACTATCAATTTATTAGATTCAAACACAGGTTTTACTCATAAATAAAGCTTAAATAGGTGTAAGAAATCTAGAATGATAAGTGAGTGGTAGAATGATTAAGTCAAGGTTGCAAAATTTTGAGAAATTGGATTTTTCACAAGTATTTTCAAATGATATTTATTATGCTTGTTGTCAATATGCTACAACATCTAACAAGAAAATAAAGACTTTTGAGTTAATACCACAGTGGCAATCACAAGCGGATCCAGGATTTAATTTAATTTAATAAAATATATATTATGATAATTACTTCAGAAGAATAATTAACTCCTAAGGCAACCATGCAATATTTTCATTTTGTATTATAGTTTGACTAAAATTTTATTTGTATTCATTTATTAAAAAAAACAAATAAATATAAAGTAAGAATATATAACTTAATACTGACATGAGAAAGAACTACTCATTGGTGTAGTACTTCTAATGACAAAAATTAAAACATAACTTAAAATATATCCCTAGAAAAATCATGTCTTTGTTGCAGTAGATAAGTGATATATCATATATATATAAATAATTTAAGTATATTAACAAAATAGAAATATTCTCAAAATAAAGCAAACTTAAACACGTAATGTTCTAATTACTTAAGTAACTCAATTTAAATAAAAATTTTATTATGTATAATTACTGGCTATTAATTACCTCAAAACCCAAAATGTCAACATTTGATACCAGGTCCCATTTCTGTTTACCATCGGAAGTAAATCCATTGAAGCCAAGACCAGAAATGTTATTAATGGCATCAGCAAGAAGCCATGCATGATAATATTTGAACCTTGCTGAGGTAGTTGATATATATAAGTATGCCATTTGGTATACTACCCCTCTTCTCAAGAATTCCTCTTCTGAAAAACAACAGATAAATTATTTTTTTATAATATATGGGGTGTCCAATAAATAATGGGAAATATTGAAAAGATTGATTAACAACAACTACAAAAAAGTTCATAAAAACCATGGTCCAATTTTCTACTAAAAATATATAATTGTATACATGTAAACCATATAAAATGTACTAGTGTTAAAGTGTTTACTATTGTTGTTCAGGTATGATTATGATAACAATTGAAATTAACATTGAAATGACCTTTTTGTATTTTGTCAAACCAGACTAACGGACCAATGTTTTGTACCATGTTATTATTATTCTTAGGGGACTTTAGTCCCAGAATAAAATTATATTTTCCTTCATTCATTTCATAATTGAGAACCTTAAAATACTTAGGGCTATCCCTTCAAAACAGAAATAAGAGATTTTTTTTATTTAGACATGTGCTTTTTTACAAAAAAAAAAATTTAACAGATTTAATCTCTGGTGATTTTGGGTTTGAGCCATTATCTACCAGCCAAATGGTATACGGTGAAGGAAGTATAATATTTCTTCAAAATAATCTACAAATATTGTTTCCATGGAAATCATAAAAATGCTTTCACAAACTTTAAAAGAAAATAAAAATACATGTTTTACAATAGCAATAAAAAAATAAACTGAATACATATATAACATGTATGTATACGCACCTTTGGCATGTTCAATTGGGAAGAACAAAACAGAGAATAAAACTCCAAATATCACACTAACAGTAATTTTTATTAAAACTGGATAAAACGGATTAGGTTTAATATAAACATCTCTATCACTTAAATTAGCATCCTGAAATGTAATGAATAATTTAATAATATATTTTTATAATCCTACAACTTTTAATTAGAATCATATTTAAAAAATTCGACATAATAAATTTAATAGATAACTGTTCAATGATATAAAAATAAATAAATATGTTTTACTGGCACTATTAACAACTTAAAATGTATCAGGGGATTATTGCTAAAAGTCACTAGGCAGATTTTTGATAGATTTAAACTTGTAATTAGGTTATTTCGACCTTATTTATTAATATATAAACACAGTAAAAGCATCAAAATGACATAAATCATATTACATATAAAAAACAGTAGCACTAAGTGTCTTATTTCTCGGCGAGAAAATTTTTCATGATTTCATGTAATAAACCCATGATACATACTGACCAAAATTAAAATTGGAACAAGAAAATGTTTTATTTGACAAATAATAATAGTTGTAAATTAATTAAATTTTATTTATTTTTTTTAAGGGTGAGGAAATTAATTAACTTATATTTAGCTAACATGGTTAGTAAATTCCCCTAACTTTTTAATACTTCGTTTTTGTATATTAATATTAACACATTATTCATTTATTTTTTTTAAAGAATAGATACAAAAGATTAAACTTACAGTTTGTGTTATCCCTGGCTTGAGGAAATTAGTTCCATTTATGAAATCCATATAATCAGTATAAAAAACCATTGGTCCAGCCATTAGCGTCTGAAAGTGGAATATGTAACTGAAGTAATCAAGAACTGAGGGAATCTTTCTAAAGAAAACAAAACCAAAAATATATTAATTAAAATAAAATGCTAAATAAAACACCATTTTATTTTATAAATATTTACTTATTGTCCTTCAATATACATCCCTCCTATATCCATACAATGCTTCATGTGAATCTTCAATTGCCTGAAACAGTCCTTAAATTCTGTGAGCTCCTTCAGGATGCGTGGCGCTTTCACTTTCACAGTTTTAACGGCTTTAAATCTTGTATCTTTTAATATAGATTGATGAATCATAGTTTTTTAATTAATGAACCTGAAACGAAATCCATTTTTTTCCAATGGGTTCCTGAAGGTAAAACTACCTAACAACATTAAAGCGTCACGTGTTCTGAAGGAGCTGAAAGAAGAAGTCCTGCACTGTTTCAGACAACAGAAAATTCGCATGGAGAATTGTAGGGCTAGAGGAGGTGTGTATATTGAAGATGATAATAAGTAAAATGTATATGAAAATCAAAATAAAATGTTTTACAGCATCAGTCTCAGTATTTAATAACTACAAAACATATATTACTTTCAGTCTGGTTCTCACAGCTATAAACACTGAGACTACTTATAGCAGTTGCAGACTTAAAAATGTCACCTTTAGCACAAAGAGAATAAACATGTAAAATTGTTACACACAATCTTTTTCACTAACACAGGTGATATGATGTGTTGATTTATCATAACTTTATTTAATAATACCAAAATAGACAGGAAGTTAAGCAATATTATAAACATTTATCAATAATATTATCTATCTGGAACTCAAGAATGACTTGCCCTGACATACAAACAAGAAAGCAATATACAAGTATATATATTATTAACATCCTCAATATACAGTGAGTGTAAAAATTATTGGGACACCTAGTCCAATTTAAAAAAAAAAATGTAATGTATTGAAAATAAATATTTTTTTCTTAAATTCCAATAGAATATTTTCTGTCTGCGCATTTTTATAATAAAATTTTATCATTTTAAAAATTTTGAAAAGTACACTGACTGGAAATGTTCAATGGAATAGTACTGTACTGTAAATAGTTACAAGCAAAAAGTATTGGGACACATGGTTTATCTTTAATCCTTTTACTATTATTTATTTCACTAATCTTTTTTCTCATTCTCCATCGTTCTTCTCATGTCTGTGTTGAAGAATATTTCAGTCATTTGTTGCGAACCTGACCATAGTGATCGAAATGGGATAAAAAGTGAAGGAAACAAGTGTGGGAGAAAGAAAAATTGTTATCCGCCACAAATATAATTCATTTGTATTGTACGTTTATTAGGGAAATATCCGCAATAATTGGAATTCCAAGAATGACTGTTTGGAATATAATAGATAGGCATGGAATAACCAAAAGTTTTAAGAATAAACATAGAAGTAGTAGGCTAAAAATATTTTCTAAGCAGGATAGAAGATCAATTGTTAGAAAAGTAGCTAAAAACCCACGTTATTCCGATCCTAAGTTAATCGCAGAATATACTCTCAATAATGAGAAACCAATATCTGTAAGTTCTGTCAGAAATATTCTAAGAAATGTGAATTTCCATGGTCGTGTGCCAAGGAAAAGGTTTTTGGACAATGAACAGAATAGAAGAAAAATATTAAATTTTGCAAATGATTAAAAATAAGCCAAAAACATTTTCGAATGGCGTCCTTTTCAATGATGAGAGCAAGTTCAATATATTCGGTTCGGAAGAGAAAAGAAAAATTTGAAGAAAAAAAAATTCTGAGCTAAATAACAAAATGTGTTAGCAACTGTCAAATATGTAAGTGGGTCAGTAATGGTATTGGAGTGTATTAGTACTGCCGGTGTTGGGAGATTGGAATTTGTCGAACGGAATATGGACCACAAACAGTATGTGCAAATCTTAAAACATTTAAAACCACTAGTTGAAAAATTGGGGATTTCTGAGTAATTTGTCTTTTATCAACATAATGACCCCAAACATAAAGCTCTCAGTACTCGGCTCTGTCTACTGTAAAACATGCGAAAATGCCTTGAAACTCCACTCTAGTCACCCGATCTCAATCCCATTGAACAAAAAATAATAACAAGAACGATTAGTAACAAAACTGATCTCAAACATGTGATTAAGGAAGAGTAGAAAAAAATTGAATCATCGTTCACTTCAAAGGCAACTTAGGAGTGTAATAGAAGCTAAAGGGTATCAGACAAGATATTAATGTAAAAAAAAGAGGAATATGTTAATGTTTAGTCATGTGTCGCAATACTTATTGTTTATAATTCATCTGAATTTTTCTAATAATTTATATAAAAGAAATAATAGTTATCATGTTGTTAAATTTTGTATATTGTAAATCATATTTATATTGTAAATAAATCTGTTAATTAAATTTTCGTTATTGAAAATTAAATAAAAGCATAAATTTAGAGTAGTGCCATTTTTTTTAAATTACACTTTCAGGTTTCCCAATACTTTTTACACTGACTGTGCCAAACTGTTGGTCAACCCCTTCTATTTGCATGGAATTTATTAAGCTGACAAAATTTCTGATCTGCATCCAATACAGAATATTATCTTAATATGATTAATATGGATGATTCAGGTATGCTATAGAGATAAATATTCATGCAATAGGTGAATTGGGCACAATTAATAATTCGATGCAAAGTAGATTAAGATTTTAAACGTAGATAAAAAGTGTACACATCATTGATCACCAGTTTAATTTTTAAAAGTATTTCTGTTTCTTATTCAAAGGAAATGATGGAAAAATTTTAAAAGCCAATTATTTAACTGTTGATACTAAAAAAATCATTTTTTTTTTACTCCAGGATAATATTTTTACTAATAATTTTTAAAAATGAGTATTATTTAATCAAGCGAAATGAAATTCACGAGCTAGTCAAAACTTTTTTTGTATAGACTTTTTTTGTTATCAAAAATAAAATATGTTCAATTTCTACTTTATAGATTATGTAAATATTCTTTTAAAAATTCATACTTTACTGCATAATGCTTCTGGCTAGGTGTCAAATCATTATCCTTTGCGAATCCATCGTGTACGCTAAATGCTAAACTAGTGATTTTTTGAGTCATAACCATCAATGGGCCTTAAAAATAACAGTACAATTAAAAGAAAATTTAAACAGAGAAAATCTAAAAAAAGAGTAGTAAATTGTATACAATTTAATCAAACATACCAGTTACATCCAGAGCATATACTGCACCTGAGTAGAATAAACGATGCAAATGTATACATGACAAATAACTGATGGCTACCATCATTGTCCATCTGGAATCAGCAACACAAACAAATTATAAAATATATAATAACATAATTAAATCAAACAGTAAAATATAAAGTTAAATTAAATAACTCTCACCGTTGGACGATTTTTGGGTTTAATATTCGAAGCAATAAATAACAAATAGATGGCATCCCAAAAAGATGAATAACTTGGCTATAATCAAATATAATAAATAAATTAATTATTTTTTATAAAGAAAGTTAACATCCAATTGCAGTAACAAGAAATAGCTAATATAATAACCATAACTAATAATAAACAAAAATAATATATTTTAACTAATTAAAAATATAAGCTTAAGATATTTTGATTTAAATTAAGAGCCTAAGTGCAGTTAATTTTATAAATAAAATAATGTGGGGAATCACTTTATTTTCATTTTATTACTTATTGAAAATAACAGCCATAACTATCAACCAGCAATTGGTTATAATAAAAAAAAAATAAGCACAATAAAGTAGAAAATAAAAACAATATTGGCAACACAAAATTTAATTGATCATCAGCATTTAGGGGATGATTTTAGAGTTTTTATGCTACAAAAAGAGTAAATAACAAATGAACATGTTATGTGTCACAAGTTTTCTTTAATCTAGGGTATTTTATAAACCACAGAGTTCATTTGTTAAATGCACTGTAAAAGTTCATAGCACTTAGTATCTTAGTGGTATTTTAATAGGTGTCAATAGCCATCTAGCCTTGATTTTTAGTATTTATTTCTCATTTGTAGTAAATATTTATTTTAAATAAACATTTCAGGGTCGCCACCCCATCTTCACACTTTCTTTAATATGTTTATTAATTATATTAATCCAACTATAACTTAATGAAGAGAAGGATAGTTGGGGTGATCAGTAAAAATAAAAATGGCAATAATAAATTATAATATTTATTTTAACATTTGCTGACATTTCGACCTGAATTTCAGGCCTTCATCAGAGCTGAGAAGAGAACCAGATAACAATTGGTATGAGAAACGTAAACAATGTAGGTACAAAAAAACTATCATAAATAAATAATTATAAATAAAAATACAACTATAAAAAGTAAAAAACACTATAAAAACTATATTTTTTTTTACTTACATTGTTTATTGTATGTTTCTCATACCAATTGTTATCTGGCTCTTTTCTCAACCCTGAGCTTCGGGTTGAAACATGTGGCAAATGTTAAAATAAATATTATTATTTATTTTTGCCATTTTTATTTTGACTGATCACTCAACTATCCTACTCATCATTATTCACTACAGTCAACCATCAACCCACAATTATAATAACTTAACTTTAACTTATTCTATAGAAATCTTTGTATAGTATTAATTTAATTATTTTTTCTTTTTGAAGGCACTCCTATTGCTTAGCATTGCTATAATGCCATTGAGACCTATTAAGATTTATTGCTGACTTTCAGGAGGAAGAATCTAAATATTGGTTGATGTACTACTTAAATTGTGAAACACTGGCTAAATGGCATTCTTTTTCTATATACTTACATCCCAAAGGCGAAATAGCCTAAAAATATGCCAACAATAAGTACGAAGGCTTGTCTGGCAGATGACTTTGTAATAGAAGGGTGCAATACACTTTGCATTAAAGGAGCAAGAGCCAATGAGATAACTTGTGAAGCAACAAAATTTATCTGAAAGTATAAAAAAAGCCACTTAAGCCATTAGGAAACAAATAATCTCATTAATTTGTAATCAACTAGAAAGCACAAAAAACAAAATAAATTTAATTTCTTACATGTTGTAGTGTTCAATAAGTGAAATCACTGATACACTATATAAATAAAACCCAAGCTAATATCAATAAACAAAAAGCCAACTTAAAAAGAGCTTTACTGCAAGTGAGGTTAGTAACTTTACATTAAGTAGATATTGCTGTGATTATGATAAAAGATAACTCACATGATCTAAAGGTATACCGGTGTTGATAGAAACACCTTCCAGTAATGTGTTCCCTGCATATGACCCTCCCATCATTTTATATTTCAGTAGAAAACTTTGGAAGAAACAGGTGCTGACTCCCTTCAATGCAAAGTAGTCTTAATATGTTGCCTTAACGAAACATCTGTGCCGACGTCCAACATTAATAGTAATCGCGATACCACACAAATCCACCTAAACAACAACCACTCGTCGCCTCTCAGGGCGGGTAACTGACAGTATGGGCTATTGGCAAGGTGCCCTAGGGGAGGGGAGGTGGCGTGATGTCTTCAATGAAATCACCTCAGCCAAGATCCACGGGTATCACCGCGTTAAATGGATCAGGCGGTCATGTTTTGGTAAACGAAAAACCTTACGATTTCAAAAAAAACATATTAGTTTGTATTGCAACTTATATAGCAATCGTTGCAAATAACGATAATGAATTTTAAATTCAAATTTCCCACGCTGGATGTAGTACTTACTAGTTACTACGCTACTGGTAACCAGTATTGAGTACAAAAAGCCGTATTTTTCAGTAACAGGTACAAACAATCCAGCTCCAAAGAAATACCTGTTACAAAATTGACGTACCTAGACCATTGGGTGTCTCCATGGGGATATAGTTTTTTTTAATTCTCTATACAAAAAACAAAGCAAGTTTTTCTGGAATAAATATAGAATCTAGGACAAAATATTCATCAAACGATCTTAATCAGTTCTAGTAAGATATTGGTTTACGCCGTACCAATATTTTTATTTGAAAATCAGCAACAAGTCTTAAGTTCAGGTAGCGTATACCTATCACTATACAGCAGGGTCAGTATTTCTCAACCATCCCTGCTAACCAGTAAGTAACCCATTCAGTGATTTAATTTTTTTAAAGGTTTTGTTATGATAATTCCAAATGTCTTTATATTTTCCTCTGCCTCATAAATTGGCGTAAGAAACATCTAATCGACTACCATTTTGAAACAAAATGTCGAATAGTAAAGTGGAGTTCATAGTATCATTGGCAAATAAAAAAAAAGAAAAATCTCTTTCAGAAAAACAGACGACGGCGTAGGAAACCCCTAATCTCCTGCGGTTTGGAAATAAAGTGGCTGATAGTAATGTCAAATTACAAGACCATGCTGATATGACTTATATCTTTGATACCAAATCTTTAAAAATCGACTGATGGCGGACGATAATCTTGAGGTAGAAACTTTTCAATTCTCTAAAATTGATGAATAAGAAAATCAAAAGTAGCAGCTTTAAGCGATAATTGACTTTTCAGTAATTTTACCTAATAACAATAGATTTCAATAAAGAAAATTGAAAATGTTATAATTTCCAATGGATAGTGAAATATAACAAAAGAATTTCATTAAATAAATATATTATTTTCAGAAGGTTGAGAAAAAATGAAGAAAATATCCATTTCAAGTTGGACAAGAAAAGCTCTGAATAACATGGTTCACTGAGTCAAACCAAACAGTACGATGAAGTGATTACTAGATGATAAAGTGACTTGAGGCAAGAGGAAGAAATGCCTCCAATGTCGTTCCCAAAATAATCAACTTAAGACCAGGGATCACCGAGTCTGGAACTATTTTTAACGAGATACTTCAGATGATGTCCGATGCCAATGCGATAGACATCTATCATCAGATCTCAAAGAGACCTTTCATAAGTCTAAATGTGAACCTCTGAAATAAATGAAAAATATATTGAAGTCAAGTAATTTAAAAAAAAAAATACTTAATCGTGGGCACATCACCGGCCTTTCCACCTATCTACTTAGAGTAGAAATTATTTTCTCTTTGAATCTGACATTTATAAAGAGTCTTTGAAGTGTGTTTTTAATTCAAAGCCAAAGCTCGTCGAACATGAATTTATTCCAATTTTGAAAATCTATATTTAAAAAACTACAAGATTTTCAAGATTAAAATTTCATCAGTAAGTAGTACAGTATGATCGGACTAAATCATTATTATTTTATTTTTTTATGTTGGCATTACAGACATTGTATATCTCGTGCCGCCTTAACAAGCCTTCTCCGTCTCTGTCTATCTTGAGCTATTTTTTTCTTGTTATCTCCATGCAGCTCTGCTACATTATTACATATAATAATACAAAGATGTCTTTATATGTTCGATCTATCCATCTGCTTTTTGGCCTTCCGTGTGTATTGTTGAGGTATTAATTTTCTCCATCTTAACCTCCGTGCCTTCTTATCATGAGATATTGATGGACCAGTTTTTGTAAACAGCTCTTTATTGGTCCTTCTCATCTGATAGGACTGGCAGGAAGGTTCGGGCATTAAGCATAGTTAGTTGGTTTTAGGCAACTAATAGGAGCCATGTTCCTGCTTGAAGAAGCGGCAAATAATGCCCGCAGATATCTTAGCACACCAACAACAACAGCGTCCTTGCTATTGAAGCCAACTAGTATTAATTCCACAATAAAAAATACAGTGACTTGACATATAATGAAAATAGAAACAATCGATACATCATAAATGAATATCTAACATGTATCAACATGTTAATGCTGATCAAAAAAATAATGCTGATTTGTGATCTTAATTTCTTCTAAATACCTGAAGTTTTCGTATCGTCATATTTATCAGAATACCATTATTATAATGTAAAGAATTATGATTTTGTCAAAATGATAAATTTCTCGAGTGTAAAAAAATAAAATGCTAAATCCTCCCATGGTGAGTGGAATAGATAAGCTATATGGAATGTTCTTTGTTTAATTAATACAATAATAAAATAATTAACATGAAACATATAAAAAATAAATTACATTATAGTATGTATTTCATAGTTTATGATTATTACAATTTGTTTTTGCCATTTATTTATCCGCACCTGTCAATTGTAACTATCGACATTCGGCAGATGTGCCGGCATAGCCATGAGAAAAAAAATTTATAAAAAAATGAAATAAAAAGGCTTGATAAATATGAATATGTTACATTACATTTTTAAACTAGTCTAAAATTCAAAAGTTTAGAATTAAATTATATTTATTCAGAGATTTTTAAAATATTTTATTGCTAAAAAAACAACAAGAAAGTACAACTGTGTTTAATAAAATCTATTCTGCACCATTCATGAGTAAAAGTGATAAAAAGTGTACAACTCTCGGAACAACTGAACTGACTCCTTAAACGACAAACCAGAAATCAGGAATTAAATTTTTGACAATTGTACACTGTTTCAAATTAATACTAATACTCTCTTCGAACCAACAAAAATGTTTTGATGCTTCAAATAATTTTTATATTTGTAAATGATCTGTTCAGCACCATTGGAAAATTGGCCTTTTGCCATCTTGTCAAGTTTTCTAATAATAAACCTCTATAAATTCCGATTAGTAGTTTTTGTTTGTACCAATATAGATAGTAGAAGTAATAATTCATCTATTTTTATGGCTAATTGTATTGATAGAGGTGCCATTGAAAGACATAGTTATATCAATCATAATAAAAATAATTATAACCCACATACCATAAAAATGTTTCACTGAATTGAAATCCTGAACTATACGAAAAAGTTCAAGCCAATTTTCAATTATATTAATTTTAATAACAAAGTGACATCTTTTACCGCCTTAATCAGTCTTCGATATCTGCCTATCTTGGTCTTTTACTTTCCAGGTATCTGCATGCAACTCTACGTTACCTTTGTTGATTTGATCTGTCCATCTGTTTTTTGGTCTTCCATGTGATCTTTTACCTACTATTGAGGTATTCATTTTCGTGTAGAGACTTCCAGATGGATTCCTCAGAGCTATATGCCCCGCCCATCTTAACCTCTTTGCCTTCATATCATGAGATATTGATTGACCAGTTTCTGTGAGCAGTTCTTTATCGGTCCTTCTCCATACCTTAGTACTCTGATCCCAGATAGCTCCGGCTAACTTGCGGAGGAATCTGTGAAAAATAAAATAAATTAAAATCGTGTTATTTTTTTGTATAACGCTTACATACCAGCGTAGCTTCGTGATTAAAAACGTAGTATAGACCAAATTTATTGTAAAGTACTAGCGCATCCAGGATTTAATTTTGGGAGGGGAGCTTCAGCAGGAAAGCTTTTTTTTAATAAAAATAACGATAATTACTTTGGAAAAATAGAAAGAAACTAACTACCCATATGAAATGGTGTTTAAGTGATTCCAAAATTCTTTTTAAATGTAATTACACGAACAATAATACTTTGAGGGATAATGTTTTAATATTTTTTTCTATAAAACATGGTTATATTTTCCCATTTTGGGATAGAGGGGCTTCAGTCTGAAAGCACTCCGGCCCCCCCCCCTCCCACCCTCCCGTAGATCTGCCCGTGTTGTAAAGCAACGATCGTCATCTATGATCTCACTATTTTATATTCATATAAAAAGCAAAAAAGCAGAAAATATAATTTAAAAAAAAAAACATTTCCTAATATAGACAAGTTTTATCAAAATTTTGACGTGAATCTGCAATCTCAGCCTAAAATCTTTTTGCTATAATGTTTTTAAACACATATAACAATATATAAATAAAAATTAATTTTAAGTATGGTTCGATAAATTACTGCCATAATGGTTAAACTAGAAATCAGATATATATATATATATATATATATATATATATATATATATATATATATATATATATATATATATATATATATATATATAAATGTATGGAATAATAAATAATTTTTTAATGTACACTATTCTTATATTGAAAAAAATTACTTTAGTCGAACAAATTTCTTATTATAAATTATGACTAAGAAAAACAATCGATAACTTATATTAATTCATTCAGTAGATCGATTAAAAGTTAAATCGAGTCCGCCTGAGGGTGACAGGTTATCAAGTGAGCCTTTGTGCTGCAAATGCTTGGCACTTCTGATAAATAAAATATGAAGAGATTGGGTTTTATTTTTTACTTTTTTCATCTCCATTTCACGATCTCGAAAAGAATTTTGATTACAAATTATTTTTCATATTTTTTATTACATCTATATAAGCTCAAGGCTACCGGTTTCAAAAATCATTCTTGGTATTCGATAAATAAAATCAGAAGGAATTGAAGTTGAGCTTCGTCGTAATATGTTTAATGAATACTTTCTTCTCTTCATCTATATTATATATTGAAATATTATTTATTCTATAAATTCTTATCTTTCCAAATATAAAAATTTAATTGTTCAGTATCATTCAGCGTTGGCAA